TGAGGAATTTGCGATTTGACTATTGATTCTTTTGTTAAAGTTCGCGAGAAACGCGATGGTGCCACTGGTTTTCACTGAAATAAATTCCCAAGATCAAAAAAAGTTTTCTACTTGAGGGCGTAATGGAGGGGATATCCCACGCTATCCTGAGAGTCCACCTCTACATCAAGACGGACGCTCCATATGCAAAGATAGGGAGCAAATACATTGACAGGGTTGCCTTTTTATTTGGGGACTCCAAAACTGAAAACACGGCATCATTGCTAATGTATTTGCTCCCTATCTTTGCATGGAGAGTTTGTCTTGATGTATACGTGGACTCTCAGGGTAGCATGGGATATCCCCTCCATTTTGGCCTCAACTTGAGAGCCGTGGCACGCTGCGGCGCGGCGCGGCAGGCGGGCGGCCAGCGCGCATTGGCGCCTACAAACCTAAGTAGATACTTCAAGCATTGCGCAATGCGTTAAGTATCCATGTTAGGTTTGTAGGCGCCAATGCGCGACTTGGCAGTACGCTGCTCCACTCTATGTTTGGCCCTAATATTTAAACACGCGGAGTCAGCGATTTTCAACTCACGATTTTGAAATGTTTGCACACTCTGCGTGGATTATTCCCATTTATATTGAAGAAAAAGAAATATGTATTTTAGGAAAATATGATGTGTGCTTCGTAAATTTTAAGGTCGTTCAGAGTCAAATTTAATGATTTCCAAAGCTTTTAAATGTTTTCTTTTATATTTGGTGCTTTTACACCTGCGCGGAACATTTGAGAGTTGCCAAATTTCCTTCGATGAAATGTTTATTTTTAAGGATAATGGAGATGTTGCATGTGTAAGGAATTTGCGATTTGACTGTTGATTCTTATGTAAAAGTTCAAGAGAAACACGATGGTGCCACTGGTTTTCTTTTAAATCAACTCCCAAGCTCAAAAAAAGCTCTCAAAGTGAGGCCAAAATGGAGGGGATATCCCGCCCTACCCTGAGAGTCTACCTCTACATCAAAACAAACTCTCCGTGCAAAGATAGGGAGCAAATACATTAGCAGGGTTGCCGTGTTTTCATTTTTAAAGTCCTCAAATAAATTGGCAGCCCTATCAATGTATTTGCTCCCTATCTTTGCATGGAGAGTTTGTCTTGGTGTAGAAGGTGGACTCTCAGGATAGCGTGGGATATCCCCTCCATTTTGGCCTCAACTTGAGAGCTTTTTTTGAGCTCGGGAGTTGAATTCAGAGAAAACCAGTGGCACCATCGTGTTTCTCGCGAACTTTTACATAAGAATCTACAGTCAAATCGCAAATTCCTCACACATTCATCATCTCCATTACGATGATGACTGTTGCTCCCTTATAATTTTTCATAAGGAATTGTTGAATCCCCGAAAGTAAAAGCTTCCACCTGTCGCCAAGAGGTCAGTGGAGGGTCTCTCGTCCCTGATTCCACCCCTGTCGTTTTTTCGTTTCACCCTGGCGCCACCTAGCGGGATTTCCGCGAAGCGCTCCCTGCGGACCCACCTGTTGCAAATCGCGGATGACGCGAAACCCTTTAAGGGCGTCACGTGACCCCGTTCCTCGGGGAGAAGGGGGACGACCGGGCGGGGGGTGGGGGGGGAAGGGATCGGGGTCGGGGGACCAGGGCCGCGGCTCTGCTCTACCGATCGCGCGCGCGGCCGCCTCCCGAAACCGTCTCGGCTCGTGTTTATTGCACCTCGATTCGGAATCCTCGATTAGTCTATTTCGGAGTTATCGCGTTCGCCGAACCCCCCGCAGCGGGTTAATTCGTTTTAGTCGACCGTTTAGAGGTGCATTTCGAATCGAGGCGCACGGTTCGTGGCAAGTTCGGTCCGTTCGTTCGCGCGGAGACTTTTAATGTAAATGCGAGATCGATCGATAGTCGATAGATCAATTGAGGGGCTCGGAGGACAAAGCGCACAAGTGTAGTTGGTTTTTGAAAAAATTGAGATATCAATGAATTCAATTAAAATTTACTGGAAAAAAAACACATTGGATCTAGAGTCCAGACTCTTGAAAACATTGATAAGAAAAAATACTCACGATTCAATCGGATTTTTGCTTAAATCAAAAGGAAATCCGCTTAAATTAAGAGGCTTGGTTCTTGATTTAAGCTAGATTCTGATTGAATCAAGAGTACTTTTTCGTGTCGATGTTTTTAAGAGTCTGGACTCTCGATCCAATGTGTTTTTTTCTAGTGTTGGATCGCACTTAGCAAAAAGGAACCAGCGCGATGACGGTGTTTTCAAAATCGCTCATCTTCTTTTTTTATTTTAAAAAAATACTAAATATTTATGTACAGTATTAAAATTTACACAATTCTTCCGTTTTTGCTATTTTGGGAGATTTTTTAGATAACTACGAAGAAGCGACATTTTAACAGCAGTGCGATTGCGCTGGTTACTTTTTGCTAAAAGCGATCCAATCAAGGGGCTTGGAAGACAAGGAAAGTGCAGTTCTTGAAAAAATTGAGCTATTAATGATCTCAAGTGAAACTGGTTTTAATGCCTATTCTGTGAAAAATTCGTTCCCAAATTCCAATTTTTAAGCATCAAAAAGTCAGTTTGAACTTTCTTTCCGCCACGAGGATCCATGTAACTCAGAAACTTTAAACACGTGTTTCTCGAAATAGCAAAAACTGCCTCTTATACTTTCTTGCCCCCAAGCCTGTCATTTGATAATTTCTGGGTTTAAGGATATTTTCCTGAATATCCGAGCATCCAATCACGTTGTTACTGTGCCAAATATTTGTACACAAAATTTGTCCAAAAAAACATTTTTAATTAGCTTTAGCAGTACGTCCCTGGGGAATATCGCGAATCGAGTGCAGTGGCGTGGTGTCCTTAGCGATATATCTATTGATCTGGCACTTAAACCTATGAAAAAGGTTCGATAAATAGGGTGCTCACAACGAACACTTTAATAATCGATTCTTTGCCACAGCTTCAAATGGGGAAATATCGATAATCGATCATTAACGCCTCTCCACTGATCGAATGGCTAAACTATTTGACTCACTTTCGGAGTTATTTCAAGTGTTATTGCTTACATTTTTGTGTGCAAATACCTAAATTTCACGGCGTGATATGTTGCAATGTTTTTGCATGTTGCAATGTCTTTGTATGTTGCTTATCCTAAAATCCAGAAATTATTAATTGATTGATTTACCATCGAATCACTCTGCAAAGTGCTGAAGGAAGATCCACCTTAAGGTGAATCTGAAGTAAGAGGAAGCAACCATGGGCTGACATTTAGGGGAAATTCCCCCTATAACATATTATCATTTAGGTTCTTTTACAACGAGAGACACGATGCACACAATCCGGGCAACATACTCGATAGCTATTACCAGGTTTTGAATTTCCACATTGAGCCCAGTGTGTTTCCTCATCCACTGATTCAACCATCAATTCATTACAATAACATTTGCGCTTATCAAAAAACTAGTGGAAATTAAGAATCATTAACGATCATAAGAATTTTCATCATCAAGAGAAACTCGATGTTCTTTAATGTTTATCGAAGCACGATTGCCAGTCAGTGAAACAGTTATTCCAATAAAAAAATTCTTTTATAATGCAGCATGAAACTTCCAGATTTCCATAAATTTTCAATAGCGAATCATGTTACGATCTAGCAAAATTGTTTTGATGATCATTGAAAATCTTTATGTGCCTGTAAGGTCAGCGATGATGCTTTTCTTCCCCCAAAGAAGTATTTTTTCCTCCTCCTTTTTTTCTTTAAACGATGCAAATAATTATGAGAATTATTTGTCTAAAAATCCCGTTTTTTCGGTGGACGTATTTAGCAAAATCTGAAAGACCCATCCACCTAGGTATCTTCGGAGTTGCCTTGATGTTTTTTTTTTTTTTTTTTTTTTTTNTTTTTTTTTTTTTTTTTTTTTTTTTTTCGCGTAATTCTAGAGTGCTGATAAATGATTACGCGTTTTTTTAAACAGTTACTAGCCCTAATAGATTCATTGACAACTTAAGAGCGCAATCAGTTTTCAATTTGAAATCTTTTTTGATAAAATCAAAGTTGTTTCTTCTACAGCACGATTTTTTTCGAAAGACGCTTCCGTAGACGTATTTATTCTTAATGACGTTTTCAAATCAATCGTCGTCAATTATGAGCATGTTTTTACTCGTCCATAATCCTATACACGTGACAATGTTTTGGTATATTCTTCGTCTTAGTATAGATAGTTTTTTCGAAAAAATGTCCAGCATACCTAAATCGTAGTTATGTCGACGATTAGTTTCGAATCATCGTCATCAATATTTATTTTTCCTTCTCCGTTGTGGGGAGTTTGATTCTACTCGCGCTACGGTTGTTTTCCGGTAAATATTTTGTTTCAAGCTTTGCAAGTACCTTTCATTTATTTCTTTATTATTTTTCCTCGAGGCTAGAATTTTGGCAGCCAGGCTATCCTAATTTTTCAATCGAAAGGCTTATTGTTGATCGTCAGTCCCACACGGTGACGCACAGCGTTCCTTATCGCTCGTTTCACACGCCATCTCCAGCGCAAGTAAACAGAAAGTGCGTTTTCTATAAAACCGCCGGTTTGATTTTGATGCCGGTTATTTGTGAAAAATTCTCCGCGTGAAAGTGCTCGGAGCCTAGAATTTTTAAACCGAAAGTTGATCGACGCTGTAATTTTGAGTGCCAATAACCGCAAAGTAATTCCTCTCCTAAATCCAGTCGGTTTTCCGCTACTTAGTTTGTCGAATTTGTGAAAAATCGTGAAAAGTTTTCAAATAGTTCTGCCAAAAAATCGCAATTCTTTGGTCGCTAACAACTAAAAAGATTCCCTCTGGACAGAAAGATAGTGATTCAGCCAACGTACGATACGGTTGACTGTAAAACTGAAGATTACAGTATAAAACTCTCAGTATATGAAATTTAAGGTTTAACGAGTAAACAACTAAAGATTGCCGTCTCTTGAAATCAGTCGGGTTTCGTTCGTTAAGCTTTCTTCTTCTTATATTTTTGGTGAAAAATCGTGACAAGTTACCGGTAAATTTTCAAGTATCTTCTTGAAGATTTCCACTCCTGCTAGTATTAGGTACTTTCGTTTATCATAAGCGAGAAAGAAGTGTTTTTTCCGAGTTCCCAGATTTTAGTAGTTCGTGACCTGCCACAACAAGCCGAATTTAGCCGACGAAAGTTCGCCCGGCCCCAGCACTTCACGTAAGCAATCTTCCGAAGCGGGTATCGTGACCAGTACCCGAAACGAGGCCTTTGAATAATTAAGCCGCTTTCACTGCATTGATTCGGGACTATTCAGTCGAACAGAATCGGGATGACATGACGTCAAGTGCACGTCGCTCTATCGCGGAGTTTTCACGGAATCGCCGCTCGTCAAGCACGTCATCCACCTCTTACGCCGCTTACTGAGCTCACGTGTGCGTCACCGTAAGCGACGCAAAAGCCGCCTCATAAACCCGCCGAAATCCCCCGTCTTGGCATTCACCGTTGTGTCGAGTTGTGTTAAGTCCGCGGTAATTTCACGCATGAACCAAGTTCGGGCCTACCGACTGTTGTCCGGAATTCTAGAGCCGTGAGGCATACGCAACGTTTTCCTGCGTCTCGTTGGCTGATCGCACCAAAGCTTCCGAATTTCCACTCGGAGTTTGTTTTGTTTTCGAGTTTTGCTGCGTCATCACGGAGCAGTTGAGCTATCATCAATTGATGAGCGCAAGAACTTTGGAGGTGACAGATCTTCGCGGAATTTGAATTTACCGCGATTCGAGTGATCGCATTCCAGAAACGAACTTCTTGACGTCGAATTAAATCAGAGCTAGTAAACTTCGGCAAATTTTTAATTTTCCGCGGCTCTTAAATCAGAAGTGATCGCAGCTCCAGAAAGGAACTTCTGAACATCAAGCCAAATCGAGGAGAGAAGTTCATCAAATTTCGAATTTCCCGCGACTCTGAAACCGGAGGTGATTATAATTTCGGATACGAAATTCTCAAAATCGGATCCAATCAAAGACAGTAAACTTTGGCCAATTTTTAATTTCCCGCGGCTCTTAAATCAGAAGTGATTCCAGTTCCAGAAAGAAACTTCTGAATATCAAGCCTAATCGAGGAGAGAAATCCGCCGAATTCTGAATTCCCCGCGAATCACAAACCGGAAGTGCCACCCCCTGTGATCATCATCCCTAGATCCATCTCGAATTCTAACTTTCCTGTTTTCATTCCGGAAACGAATTTCTCAACAACGAATAAAATCAAAGACAGTTAACTTTCGGAAGTTCCAAAATCCTCGCGAATCACAAACCGGAAGTGCCACCCCCTGTGATCATCATCCCGGAAATCGATCTCAAATTCTAAGTTTCCTGTTTTCATTCTGGAAACTAATTTCTCAACAACGAATAAAGTCAAAGACAGGAAACTTTCGGAAGTTTCTAAATTCCCGCGACTCACAAACCGGAAGTGCATCCCCTGTGATCCCTAGATCGATCTCAAATTCTAAGTTTCGTGTTCTCATCCCGGGAACGAATTTCTCAACACCGAATCAAACCGAAGGCAGTAAACTTTCGGAAGTTTCAAAATCCTCGCGAATCACAAACCGGAAGTGCCATCCCCTTTGATCATCATCCCTAGATCGATCCCAAATTCCAAGTTTCTCAACAACGAACAAAGTTAAAGACAGTAAACTTTCGGAAGTTTCAAAATCCCCGCGACTCACAAACCGGAAGTGCGTCATCCCGGAAATCGATCCCCGATTTCGAGTTCCTCGTCTCCAAGTGCCCGCGGTTCCGGAATGGAGTACCTCTTCCCGCCAGGATCCTCCGGGGCGAGCTGCATTCGGCGCCTGTCGCAGGAGCTGTCGCTGTCGACGGGGGCGGGTCTGGCCTGTCTGACGGTGCCCTCCGGGGCGACCCCCACCTCCTCCATGTCCTCCGGATATCCGGCCTCCGAGTGCGACACGGAGAGCTTCTTCATCGGCGACTCCTCTGACGAGGGCGGGTGGGGCGACACCAGAATCCTCCCGCACAGGTATTGTTCTTTTCAAGTCCAGTAGTTCTGTCTTTAGATTGGGCGAAGGAGGAAGCAGTAATGTCCACCAAGCGTGTCTCCTAGTTCGTTCAAGTTGCTGGAAAACTTCCACACTGTAACCGACATTGGAGATGTTGCATGTGTGAGGAATTAGCGATTTGACTGTTGACTCTTATGTGAAAGTCCGAAGACCCTCCACTGACCTCTTGGCGACAGGTGGAAGCTTTTACTTTCGGGGACTCGACAATTCCTTTTGGACAATTATAAGGGAGCAACAGTCATCATCCTAATCGAGATGATGCATGTGTGAGGAATTTGCGATTTGACTGTTGATTCTGATGTAAAAGTTCGCGAGAAACACGATGGTGCCACTGGTTTCCTCTGAAATCAACTCCCAAGCGCAAAAAAAGCTCTCAAGCTGAGGCCAAAATGGAGGGGATATCCCACGCTATCCTGAGAGTCCACCTCTACTTCAAAACAAACTCTCTATGCAAAGATAGGGAGCAAATACATTAGCAGGGTTGTCGTGTTTTCAGTTTTAGAGTCCCTAAATAAAGTGGCAGCCCTGTCAATGTATTTGCTCCCTATCTTTGCATGGAGAGTTTGTCTTGATGTAGAGGTGGACTCTCAAGATAGCGTGGGATATCCCCTCCATTTTGGTCTCAACTTGAGAGCTTTTTTGGAGCTTGGGAGTTGATTTCAGAGAAAAACCAGTGGCACCATCGTGTTTCTCGCGAACTTTTACCTAAGAATCAACAGTCAAATCGCAAATTCCTCACACATGCAACATCTCCATTTGTGTTGATTAGTTTTTCTTTTGATTACATGTAGAGTATCTACGGCGTCTACAAGTCCGAAATTTCCGGAAAGTCCGGAAATAGCACTGATTTTTTGAGGGCGGTTCGGAAGTACTGAAAAAGTGCGGAAATTCCGCTAGAAGGTCCGAAATCTAGTTCTTTTTTCGTCATTTGCGTCACAATCCGAGCGAAAAATTCAAATTTTTGAAATTTTTCGAATTTCCTCAATTTTAGGTACTGAAAAAGTACCGAATTTGCCTGTTGAGGAGGTACTGAATTTCTTGGAAATGTACTGAAAAACTACTGTAAAAGCACTGATTTTTTGCCAGCCTGTTTTAGTAGACACTCTGGTATCGGTAAAGGGAGAGCACGGACATTTCGGTAATTTTAAAACTAGGTCATGGAGCTTTTAGGGCCCAAAAAGACAGCCAACTTTTGAATTCAAATCATCCAAAGTGATTTTTCATTACAATGGATCAGTTGTGCCTTGTGCTTGTGCAGGTCATAGAATCGTGTTTTGATGCTGAATTTTCGTGGGTTAGCTAAAAATATTAAGATCCGTCCAAACAGAAACTTTCTATACGTTCAATATCGACAGAGCTATCGCGTTTTGAAAAATTCCGTGTAAGTCGTTATTCACCGCGGTATAGACACCCTTGGTTTCTTCCACCTTGCTTTCATCAGTCAGTGATGCGTTGATTATTCAACGGGAAACTTGGATGAAAGCAAGGTGGAAGAAACCAAGGGTGTCACTACCGCGGTGGATGACGTCAGAAACCGAATTTTCAAAGCGGGATATCTGAATTAATATTGATCGTAGAGAGTTGCCGTTAGGACGGATCTTATTATTTTTAGCCGATTCACAGGAATCTAGCATTAAAACATGATTTGATGACCAGCTTAATTAACCCATTGTTACGACCCGTCGTTTGTAAGGCACATTTATGACTTAATTTTTTCATCAATGTACTCATTTTTGCGGGAAATTGCTCATTTGTTGAAATTCTTGGCCATTTTAGTATGATATTGGAATCCAAAAATTGGCAGTGATTTTGCGTGTTACAAGGTTGGCCAACAATTTGAAGAAATATATCCAAAGTCAATCAAAATTTACTGCAATCGCCCAAGATTAAGTCACAATTAAAATGTCAAGTCTCCAAGTAAAAGACGCCAGTGGTCAATCGTAAATACTTAGTAAAGCTGCAAAGCTTTTAAAACGCTTAAAGCTAATACAAACAAGATTAATGAAAATTATGTGAAAATGGAGATGGGTGGAGTTAAAGAACAGCAACAGAGATGCAAACAAAATCTCATAAAGCTCCTGTAAAGAAGATAGATTAGATAATGGTATCTACAATGTGTTTGCATTTGCTTCTCTCACTTTGGCAGGCGCAGTTGTTGCAGTATACAGCTTAAGATTGTCTCATTGTTAGTGATTTATCTTGATTTATTATGCACGCGCATTGAGTTATTGCATAATTTCCGGGAAAAAGCAAGGAATATATAATAAACGTAAAAAAAGTAAACATCTACTTACTGCCGTGCTAAGAAATGACGTGACATACGCTTCATTATGTGAATGTTGTCAAATTTTTTTTGTGTAAAATATTTATCACCAAGAAATTTTCGGATATTTATGATCAGAATTTTCAGGTACGGAGAATCAAAGAGCGAGTAAACTTGATCTGCGGTTTCGATTTTTTTTTACGCGAGAACGTTTGTGCGGATTACTTCAAAAAATTTACGGAATTTGCTTCGCTCTATGGAGAAAATTCACTGAAATTTGCGCAAAAATTCGCACGATCGTTTTCGTGTGGGTTGATTCCTTTCTGTTTAACGCAGTCCGTTTGGAGTTTCTCGCGAGCGGACGTCGCGAAAAATCACACGATTCTACCGACTGAACGCCGCACAGTGGATCGAGCTATAATAGAGGAGGTCGGACATGAATGTTTTGGCTAAAATTTCAAATTTTGATGTTTATTTCGTCAAATTTCAAATCTTGAGGGGTGATCTCATGGAAAATTTTATGAGGAAACCAATGAGACCATTTTTGAGACCTCACAATTTTGTGTATACGGAGTCATGAGCGTTTAAAGTTTCCAAATTTTGTTCGACTTCTCCTATTGACCTGATCCACCGTGCGTCGGCCGTCGTCAGCCGAGATTCGCAAATTCGCATAGCGGTCGATACTCGATAGTCGGGATCAATAACAAGATAATCAGCGCCGATTGCGGATTGTGGAGGCTGCGAGGTTGGGTTTTTTCTCGACGGCACCCACTTATCGAAGCCCTGGATACGTCACTCAGTGGCCGCGCCGCGAGATGAGAAAGGGGGTCAAACGACGCGATGGGGGACGGGTGACAGGTGATCTATTTTCTTCGATGCCGGAGGGGGAGTCTACCGATAAATCGCTGACTCCTCGGAAAAGCTGCTCAGGAGTCGAGAGCCATGCGCTCAGGAGGCATTGGCGGATCCAGCAAATTGGCAACGTTGCTTTACTCCATCTAAACCTATGGAAATGTATCGATTCTTAGAGGCAGCAGGTGCTCAGACAAGAATCGATTATTTAACATAGCTTTAAATGGAGAAAATCCGGTGTTGCCAAATTGCTGGATCCGCCTCTGCCGGGAGAGAGGAGTTAGGAGTGTATTTCAGACTTTCCTGATGCGCTCATCGTAATTTTTGAGCCAATGGAGACGTTGCATGTGTGAGGGATTTGCGATTTGACTGTTGATTCTTATGCAAAAGTTCGCGAGAAACACGATGGTGCCACTGGTTTTCTCTGAAATCAACTCCCAAGCTCAAAAAAAGCTCTCAACTTGAGGCCAAAATGGAGGGGATATCCCACGCTATCCTGAGAGTCCACCTCTACATCGAGACAAACTCTCCATGCAAAGATAGGGAGCAAATACATTAGCAGTGATGCCGTGTTTTCAGTTTTAGAGTCCCCAAATAGAGTGGCAGCCCTGTCAATGTACTAATTGCTCCCTATCTTTGCATGGAGGAGTAGAATCAAATAAGTTTTGCTCTACCATGTCTGCCAACTTTTTAGCCCTTCAAAATGGAAAAATCTGACATTTTTTTTTTAAATTTGTTCAAAATTTTACGCTTAATCAGGTCCCAACATCGCTTTAGGCAGTTTTTGCCATTTAATATCAGAATTTTGGCCCTAAACAGCTGAAATGTCCTGTACCGTAGCCTGTCTGCGACTCAAGTGCGCAACTTTATCGCTTCATAACCATCATCTTGCATCTAAATACTTCCACTTCTGCTGTAAATTCACACTCAACTTGTACCTAACTTATTATTTTCAGTTATATTCATCCAAATAAGTGAAAATATTGACAGTCTTTGCGTCATGCAGCCTTGTCTGCGGAATTCGCGTCCTGTACCGTAGCCCCCTTTTTTCAGCATCATTTCGTCCGTTACAGTGCAGCACTTATGAACTTTGTTTACTTTTTTTGTGTTATCGTGACTATCACACGCTGATGTCGAGCAAAGGAAAAAAAACCGCAATGAAACAGTAAATTTTGACCGTTTTTTATGAGTTTCTAGGTTTAACGACCATCTAGGATGTCCTTACCGTATACCTACCTTTTTAATGCATAAATCATTTCAAACTCTCGAATTTTGGTATTTTTTGATACGCTCTGATATCTTAACCTCAAATCCAGAATTTCAACCACATGCGTGAATATGCTCGAGCACCGTTGCCAATAATCACACGATTTGTCCGCACCGTAGCCGTCCGTACCGTAGCCCGTAGCCGTCCGGTACCGTAGCCCGTAGCTGACGCGCGATGCGGCCGGGTCTACGGTAAGTACGGACAAAATGCGAAAGTCATCCAAAAATCGGTGCGCTGTTTGATAGATCATCCCACTTTACCTTATTTTATCTATCACCAAAATTTGGAATTTAAAAAAAAAGAGAGACGTATTTTTTTTTAGTACGACGCGACTTAGAAGAAGGAGGCTTTTTTTCGATGATTGCATAAGGATCGCCATCTTTTTATTTTTTTCATTTTTTCTTTTAGAACTTTGAGTCCTCTTTTTCGTCTGAAGTTCATAGCAATTTATTCGTTTAATATTCGTTAATATCTAACTTATTTTTTTCTTATTGTCCTTTAAATATTTATTTAAGGTGATTTGTGACCACATTTTCGATAAATTTACCTTTTTGTTTTCTTTCTTATTTTGTAAAAGT